TGTGGAGTCCAACTCAGTCTGAAATCATACGAGTGATCAACCAAATCGAATAAACCTGAATTTGGAGGCCGATTTGATTATTACGAGCATGATTACTGGCCAATTGGACGACACGAAGTCATTTTACCAATTGATAACAACTATTACAATTTCCAAAAACTATATATTCATTTATATAAGGGCGTGTAATTCCAATCTTCAAACATTTAATTATAACAGTCATTGAGAAAAACATTCTGAAAACTCGAGAAAACAGCTTTCTATATTGTAATATAATAAATAATAATAATATAAATAATTCTATATTGCCTGGCTTGGTATGGTGGGCCGTTGCTATGGCTACTGTGGTCAGTTCTTTGATTGGTGAATTTATTTAAGTATACTCAATGTGATTGGCAGACATAACTGTCCCATTAAAGGCTTTCGATCACATCCAACTGTCCGATGACACTGTTCGATTACAACTCTACAGAATTACTAGTGAAAAATAAGTCAGTTCATCCACCAATCATATTTAAGAAAACTGTAATGCATAGTCATAATAACCTTGAGATTATACTGTTGCAACTGGATCGTAAGTTTAAAAATTCCTTTTTTTCAGGTTTGTGCTGCCTTTTCCTGTTCCATTTTCCCTTTTTGGTGATATTCTTGTCCATACTTGCTGCAATCACGTATTTTCTGTATTGGTATATCATCGATTAATATACCAGTAGCAGCTGTTGTGTACTACAAACACTGACTGGTGTCAGTGACTCTGATGCAACCCCCGAATCATTCCCAAAGCATGAATTTTATGATCTTTTCAGTCAGCTGTATTATTCAATCAATCCCCCATCTTCCAGAAAACAGGCTAACAGCTATAATGCCAAAATGACAACTCCAAAAATCACATAACCCACTAGAAGCAACATGACAAAGCATGTACCTGAAAAACGATGAAACTAATCACATATAGAGACTTTTTAACTGATCAACTGATTATGTTTTCTATTCAGCTTGAAACCTTTAACAATAGATCCTACGTGCCAACCTAACAGGAATTGTTGGAAGTGTCGGCCACAATCTTTAATTGCAGGGGAAATCCAAATACTTGAAGTTCTTTTTTTTTTTTCCAGTGTGACTTAGCAAAGGCAAAGTGGGTTCAGAGTAGCTAGTTCCATTTTGGGTAAATGCGGCTTGCCGAATGTGAAATCGTATCTGTTCGATTTTCTTACAACAATAGGACGTCTAACACAAACCAACGACAACAGGAATCTTTGCTTGTTGACTGCTTTTTATTAGGAAAAACTAAGAGAAACGCTTTTTTATTGGGACTTTGCCGCGTTTAATTCGATGTGCACAGATCTCTCTTCCCAAAATTTCATTCCCTAGGTTTTAGTTTTTTTTTCTTATCCGTAAATTAGCTGTTCAAATCGAAGAACTGCAGGGCGCTGATTCAATACCGTTCGACAGCCAAGATAAGTAATCAAACAAATGAATAAATAAAGAAATACGATGGGGGATTGATAAGTACACGTAGATAAATAACTTCAATTTGACCAAGGTATGATTTGACTAGACAACTCCGATTGCTTGATTGTAAGCTAAAGTGAGCCCTGACAAGTGAGGCTCTGAAAGCATCTGAATGCCTAGCTTTCCCCCGTAAGTCGTACCAGCTGTACCTGGTTTCATGCTTGAAACAAAAGTCAGCGCAGCTGTCATTTGATGGTGGTCGAGAATCTACTACAACCACCCCTGGAGGAGATAGTAGGGGAGATGTCCTGGCCAAAATAGAAAAATGTTTTTCTTTTCCGCACAAAATATCGAAGTATCAGGAAAAAAGTACTGAGATATTTTTGCTGAATCATTACAGTGTAAAGACCAACATAATTGATTTGAATAAAGCAAAGTTTCTTCTACAAGAAGAAATAAGTATAACACTCATTCCAGTTTTATGAAAATTTCTTCTCACGTAATGATATACAGGCAAGGCGAAAGAGAAGTGGAAGATGGGGTGAACTTTCGGTTATAAGCAAACTTACCAAGAGGTCGAGAGCAGAAATCATCGAAATGAGTCAGAACTCAGAATTATTTCCGCTTTATTAGGGCCTGGTTATGAAGTCATCTACACTGACTCCCAATGAACCACTGAATTCGCTTACAGACTTAAACAACTCTCCTTTCATTTACAAAGGTTGAAGAGTAGATTAGATTTCATCCCCGTAAACAGATCTACATTTGTACCTGCGCTGGAAAACTCATGAGAGTAAAGCTTTGGAAAAATTTTCAGTATGATAAGTTTAACTAATCTTTGCTCTGTAGCAACAACTTCTGTCTTGTTTTCCAATGGAACTTCATCGATAATGACATGCTGTACCTTAGTTTTGCCACTACGGCCTGCAGGTTGCTATTCATTTCTAAGTCGAATCGTTAAGGTGTGACTACACTCCACTGACAAACAACTTGAACTTTGTGTATTTCGGGGAAAGAAGGACTTTGGTTGGATCCAGCCAATCAGTAACGACGATGGGGGCATCACTATGACGTCATGAAGTGAGCGTAATTTTACTTT